CAATTTTAGGCAGTCACATCTTCCATGTTTCAGTGCACTTCTCTGTAAACTATGAAGGAGGATGTCTACAAGGAATAGAGCAGCTCTGCAGCATCATGCCTTGAGCAAGAGCTTTTGTCCAAAAAGCTCGAGGCATAGTAACATCTCATGGTGGCTGTGGATAGGTGTACCACAATTACCTAGTCTAGTATAGCATTTGCTATGTTTCTAAATGGCACTGGAGATCACGGCCCAAACAGGAACAGCTCTTCCAATGACTCACGTGATCAGTAGAATGGAGCCAACGCTGAGGTGGGAATCCTCAGCTGGACAAGCCACACTGCTGTCCATCTCAAAGAGGTAGAAACAATCCTGCTCCTTTTCCCGCTCTTCTGAAATAATGCTGAATGAACTCTGCAATTTGGGAAAAGTGAAGCCGTGTGAAAATATGCCCAGGCATGCTGAACTTTACCAGAAGACAGTTTTATCACTGTTGGTGCAGTTAGGCAACAGACACTGGAGGACAGAAGAAAACCTTGCTGCCTCCTCAAAGCTGTTCTGCTTATAAACGACCATTTGTCTGGCAGCCTCCTGCTCCTCTCTCCCCTCACGTGTCACTCACCGCTGTAACTCCCCGCTTGCAAGAAATCATTATCACAGCTCTTCTCTTCTCACCACTGCAGTGCCTGCCATATGAATCACCACCTTTATAAATCAGCATGATCCAGTCACCTGCCAAGAGAGAAACAACATAGGCCGCAAATCCAGATCAGAAAGGCGAAGGCAGATACTAACTAAGAAAAGTATTGAGTGGAATCTTACTTCCATTGAAGACCTGGGTTTCATTGATTCTTCCTATCACTGTGGTCTTTCCATTTTGTCTGTCTGTTTGCACCAGGCCACCAAAATCTTGTGAGGTGCTGTTGACCTCCCTGCACACCCTGAAATGGTAGATGTAGTTTTCTGTGTTGCCTTTCTCCACAGTCACGTTAAACCTGCAGCAGGGAGAGGACAGAATAGACAGCCCATAAGATTACACAGAACATGGCTCAGAGCAGCAGACACTCGAGACCTCGAAGCCAGTCACAGCCCATACTAACGGGGGAGCCCATTCTGCAGTCTGCCCCCAAATCTTCCCCTCCCCTTGGGCTGTGGGTGGGCGCTGTGCAGCCCAAGGCCCGCAGCGTGTTTTACTGTACCTCAATGGGCTCAGGGGTTCTAGTTTCTTCAGCAGGGCTCTTTCCATTTGCGACTCGCTGCTCTCATCACCGATCACATCACAGCTCCTCTCTTTCGACGGTTCAGTCCTCACGCCCACAGCAAGGGCCATAAAGACTACCAGCACAGCAGAGGTACGGCAAGGTGATGACATCCTGGACACACACCACAAAGGAAACAGAGGATTAACTGTTTCAGCCCCCTGCAAACTAACCTCAGGGTCACAGAGTCAATGACTGGCCACTTCCTCAGTCCTGACTACAAAAAAGAAGTAAAAAAATCTAGAAACATCTCACAGTTCCCAAAAGACATGAAATCTAAGTCTCATGCATAGTCAAAGACAATTCACTGGGTTGATTTGGGATTCTTTCCTGAATTTTGCCTCAGGACTGCAAAAAGTTTTGCTGCTGCGCACATTAATTAGCATTGATTCAGCCAGAGCAGAGCCCAGCAGGCTGAATGCTGGAGTAAGTTTCAGGCATAAGCCATTGTTCGTTAGTGCATCACACTGAGAAGCCAGTCAGCAGAAAATGATTTACCAGGCCTCTAATCAACCCTCTTTGCAACTCTCATGTGAAGAGCTTGCAGGGAAGAGCCACTGTGATTAGTCAGGCTCTGTTTGTTCAAGTGCCTTAATCTTAATAATTATAATTACGTTATCTTTCTAGTACTACTTTAGCTGAGAATCTGGAAGCGTTTAATAATACTAAACTACAACTTCACAGTTTTCTTCTGTTTACACGGAAGAAGAAGGGAAGGAGGAAACTGAGACATCCTATGTAAGATCCAACCACAGAGGCAGTAATGAAAATAATAAAATCTAGAAGATTTGGCTTTCAGGTTCATGCTAAAATCACACATGAAACATTCAGTGACTGCACCAGCCAACCACAATGGTGCAACAGATTCCCCTCTGCTTCTCCTGTCGCAGATTTCAGGAAAGCTTCAGATGCTGGTGGAAGGCAACCAACAGACTCACGATTAAATCAGTACCTGGCTGCAGCTAGACAGAGAGTCTGCTAGAGGAACAGCCTGTTTTGCTGAACCTAATGATTACCCCTGACCCCTGCAGAGTCCACTGTGACAGCTTACAGCTAGGAAACCAGCTCTCTGACCGCCATGGCGGTCAGATGCAAATATGATGAGGCTAGATACAATGATATCATAGAATCATCGAATCGTTTAGGTTGTAAAAGACCTTTAAGATCACCAAGTCCAACTGTTAACCTAGCACTGCCAAGTCCACCACTAAACCATGTGCCTAAGCACCACATCTACATGTCTTCTGTTCCAGTGCTTGACAACCTTTTCAGTGAAGAAATTTTTCCTAATATCCAACCTAAACCTGCCCTGGTGCAACTTGAGGCCATTTCCTCTTGTCCTGTCGCTTGTTACTTGGGAGAAGAGACTGACCCCAGCTCACTACAGCCTCCTTTCAGGTAGTTGTAGGGAGCAATAAGGTCTCCCCTCAGCCCCCTTTTCTCCAGGCTAAACAACCCCAGTTCCCTCAGCCGCTCCTCATAAGACTTGTGCTCCAGACCCTTCACCAACTTCGTTGCCCTCCTCTGGACACGCTCCAGCACCTCGATGGCCTTCTTGTAGTGAGGGGCCCAAAACTGAACACAGTACTCGAGGTGCGGCCTCACCAATGCCGAGTACAGGGGCACTATCACCTCCCTGGTCCTGCTGGCCACACTATTCCTGATACAAGCCAGGATGCCATTGGCCCTCTTGGCCACCTGA